TCTCCTTCTCTGCGCACGCAACCGCTACTGTCAATAAAGTACAGAGCGAAAAATAAAACAGGGGGTTCCTCAGGGTGGTGTCCTTTCCCCGCTACTGTTTAACTTTTATATTTCAAAGCTCCCTCAACCACCAGAGGGAGTCTCGATTGTCTCCTATGCCGACGATTGCTCGATTATGGCGACTGGGAATGGAATTGATGACCTGTGTTCGAAAGTAAACGGCTATCTCTCCGAACTTTCTCGCTTCTTCACTGCAAAGTGTCTAGCCCTCTCCCCTACGAAATCCTCCGCGACCCTCTTCACAACCTGGACGAAGGAGGTCAGGCTACCGCTGGGGATTCACGTCGATGACACACCAATTCCGACGGTGAATAACCCCAAAATACTCGGAGTAACTTTCGACAGCCTGCTCTCCTTCTCTGCGCACTCAACCGCTATTGTCAATAAAGTACAGAGCCGCAACAAGGTCCTCAAGTCGCTAGCCGGCAGTACTTGGGGCAAAGACAAAGAAACGTTGCTGGCAACATACAAGGCAATAGGCCGGCCGGTTTTGAACTACGCAGCGCCAGTGTGGTCGCCTGGGACTAGTAGGACGCAGTGGACGAAGCTACAGACCGCACAAAACACCGCACTGAGGACAGCGACGGGATGCCTCCTGATGACGCCTGAACACCACCTGCACGGCGAGGCGCAAATGCTCCCGGTAAAGGAGCACAATATAATGCTCTGCAAGCAGTTCCTGATCGGGACCCACAGAAGTGGCCACCCGTGCAGACAGCTGCTTGCAGAGGAGCCCTCGCCTAGGCACGTCAGGAGGCATCTATATGAACTAACGGACGAAGTCCAGAGGTTCATTAAGCAACCTCTGGACCCGACAGCCTACAGACAGGCCTTGAGCGGCATTCACAGGGACTCAGTCTCGAGTTATGTAGACTCTAGACCTGTGAATGCCGTTCTAGGCACACCACCCCCGGACATTGACGAGACGGAGCTTCATCTGCCTCGGGAGACGCGCACCACACTTGCACAACTTCGCTCCGGCTACTGCAGCAGGTTAAACTCCTACCTGAGTAGGCTGAATGAGGATGTGCCTAATGAATGTCCGGCATGCGGAGAGACCCCACATGACTCGAAACATCTCTTCGCATGCCCGGCAAACCCGACATCCCTAACGACCTTGTCCTTATGGGCAAACCCCGCAGAAGCTGCACGCTTCCTAGGGTTGCCGTTAGTGGAACTTGACGACAACGACTGAGATACCAACCGATCTGGGCGGGGTTGTTGTAGCCGCTACAACAACAACAACAACAACAACATAAAGTACAGAGCCGCAACAAGGTCCTCAAGTCGCTAGCCGGCAGTACTTGGGGCAAAGACAAAGAAACGTTGCTGGCAACATACAAGGCTATAGGCCGGCCGGTTTTGAACTACGCAGCGCCAGTGTGGTCGCCGGGGACTAGTAGGACGCAGTGGACGAAGCTACAGACTGTACAGAACAACCATACATTGTTTGTCGTGCTGTGCAGACGTGTTTTTCTTTGCTCTTGGATTTTCATATTGAACACATAAACAAATCGCTTTCGCGCATTCATACAAACAAATATACAATCCGTTTTCCGCATACACACATATTTGAGAGTGCTGGTGATATTTCGCTACCCTGATTGAAGCCTTGACCTTTTCTGGGAATAAAAATAATAATAATTATAAAGTGCCCTAAGAAGTTTTTTGTTTTCGCTATGTCTGTTCGTGCATCGACCTCTTCTGCAGCGAACAAACGTCCCCTGCGGAGACAGGAGTCCCCTGCTGCTAAAGTGGTAAAGCTGGATGAAGACATCACCCTTATTGCTGTCTTTGCAAAACTAAAGCAACTCGAAGTGAAAATACAGCAACAAACGGACAATCTGCTGCCGCTAGTTGAGAATGTCTCTCAGAAATTGTCAGAGCTGGAGAACAAATTAACAAAGCGAATAGATGATGAGATAGCTATGTTTACTGAGAAAGTGGCCGAGACGACTACGCGCTTAACTTTGATGGAAGCTAATATGAAGAAGGCTGAAAGCGATATTGCCTACCTACAACAGCAAGTTTCTAGTGCACTACAACAAAAACCTACTCCTGATATTTCTGCTGATGCTGTTGTGTTTGGTGTGCCTTATGCGGATGGGGAGAACCTAAAGAGCATATTTAACCAGATTTGTCTCTCCATCGATTTCATGTCTCCACAAATTCGCGACATCTTCCGAACGCGCCCCACTGCCAACCGCAACGGCGTGATTGTCGTTAAATTTCACTCCCCGCATGATCGCAATCGCACCCTTCGCGCTTTTGGGGAGTATCGCAGGCGAGTTAGATCTGCAGTGTCATTAAGCTCCATTGGAATGGATGGAATTTTCCACATATTTGAGAGTCTCACTCAAGAGAAAAGGCGCTTACTACAAGAGGCTATCAAGCTACGCAGAGAGGGTAAGCTGGTATCGGTATACACAATGCGAGGCGAGGTGCACGTAAGAAATGAAAAAGACAAAAATAGCCCCGCTATCAAATTAACCTGCGAAGATGATTTAGCGCGCTTTCGTTAGGTATAAGATTTTGTTTTTATGTTCCCTCTGTTATGTATTCATTGTTGTAAAGTTGGCACATCTCAGTTTATGTTTGTTTGTTCTTAATATTGTTATCCCTTATGCTTTAAAGTTGCTTTTGTTTATACGCGTAAAATATCATGGTTGTACCCAGCAGCAAAACGGCTAACATTGACAATTGTAGTCGTGCAATGGTGAACATCATGTGCGGTCAACAAACGGGTTTGAACATTGTTCATTTTAATGCGCGCAGTCTTAATTCTGAGAAAATGGATATAGTAAGGAACACTTTTGAATTGTCTCCAGTCGATGTTATATGTGTATCTGAGACGTGGTTCAGGTACAATGTAAGCAGTGTCCATTATGATATTAATGGTTATAAGTTGTTTCGTTCTGATAGGGTAGATAGAAAAGGTGGTGGAGTTGCTATTTACTGCAAAAAGCACCTAAAAACCAAACAGGTTTCGCAGTCACATTCAGAAAGAAGCTGCGTGGAGTACCTGTCTGTCGAAATGTCTAGCCCCTCGTCCAAAATCCTATTGTCTTGTGTGTATAATCCCTATAAGTATTTCAGCCTATGTGACTTTTTTAATTTTCTGTCCACTGTTTCTGTAGATTATGACCATATAATTCTTTGTGGTGATTTTAATGTGAACCTGTTATGTCCTGATTCTACCAGTGCTCGTTTAATAGATGATATCTCCTGTGTTGGGTTGTCTATGGTTAATTTGTCGGTGCCCACAAGATATGGTAGCAATTGCTGTCCCAGCTTATTAGATTACTTTGCTGTATCTGATCCTTCTATTGTTTTGAAATTTGACCAAACATCTTTTATATCTGATCATGACTTGATATTTTGTTCTTTTGACGTTAAACTTGATCACTATGACGACAATAGCTATGTATTTAACTTCTTTGACTACCGTTCCTTAGATGTCAACAACCTTTTCAGTAGCCTCTTGCAGATCGATTGGTCTGTTTGCTGGGGTCTCAGCACGGTCAATGAGAAGCTCCGTTTCCTAAACGAAAATATATTAAATTCGCTCCTCACTCATGTCCCTACCCGAACCTGTGACAGGTCTTCTTCCTGCCGTTGGTTTAATGGTGTGGTCCTATCAGTGATTAAAAAACGCAATAAATATTATAACATATGGAAAAGGAACCCGACAGATGAGAACTGGAGTGCTTTCAAAACAATAAGGAATGAAGCTACCTCGGTTATAAGACGTGAAAAGAAAAAATTCTTTATGAATAAGCTGGATCCCTCACTGCCTAATAATGTATTGTGGCGAAATCTGAGAACACTCCGCGTCCATGCCAGTGAGAAATCAGAATGCTCGTTGAGTCCTGAAACGCTTAGCGTTGCCTTTGCTTCTCCGCCTTCATCTTGTCCCCTTACGACCAACTCTGTAGCCTCCTGTCCGGTCTCTTTTGCTGGCGAAAAGTTTGAGTTCATTGCTGTGAGCGAGATTGATGTGGTGAAATCTGTTTTTAAGATCAGGTCCAACGCAATCGGGGAGGACGGCATTCCGATTAGATTTGTGAAGGTAATCTTACCGATTATTTTGCCAACCTTGACACACATAATAAACCATAGTCTCACCACGTCCTGTTTTCCCGATGCCTGGAAAATTGCTACTGTGCTTCCTGTAGCCAAAAATAAATCCGCATCCAGCCCTAGTGATTTCCGACCCATCAGCATACTACCAGCCTTGTCTAAAGTTTTCGAATCTTTGTTATCTGAACAAATCTCTTCCCACATCGGTAAATTCAACCTTATATCCCCATTTCAATCCGGATTCAGACCCCATCACAGCTGCTCTACTGCAATGGTAAAGATACTTGATGACATTAGAATACTGTTCGACAAGAACCACTTAACACTACTATGCTTGCTGGACTTCTCTAAAGCCTTTGATTCAGTTAGCCATGAACTACTGTGCTTTAAATTAAAAAACTACTTTGGGTTTAGAGAGTCAGCAGTAAAACTGATGCGTAGCTATCTGAAAGAGAGGTCTCAGCGTGTCAAGGTTGGATCTCAAATATCTGAACAAAGGCCTTTGTTCACGGGTGTCCCACAAGGGTCAATCTTAGGACCACTACTATTTAGTTTGTTCGTTAATGATATATTTCGGACTTCTATGCACGCCAACATGCATGCCTATGCGGACGATGTCCAGCTCTACATGTCAGGTCCTCTGGAGGACTCAGCTAATTTGTGCGCAAGCTTCAACAGGGAACTGATGTCTATAAGGTCCTGGGCACAGTTAAATGGTCTTTGTCTTAATTGTGACAAGTGTTTTGTTTTACCTATTTGTAAGAAACGTCTTAACCTAGCAACTATTCCATCGTTACACATTGGTGGCAAACCAATTAAATTTGTGTCAAAAGTAACTAACCTTGGGTTTATTATCAACACAGGCCTTACCTGCATTGACCATGTGAATTCAACTGTAGGCAAAGTCTATAATACTTTAAGGAATTTACGAATGTCTGCTCCATTTACACCGATAGAAATCAGACGTAAACTCGCAATCCAACTTATAATGCCAATTATCTGTTATTCTGAGGTAGTCTACAGCAGGTTAGATTCCCAATCAGCTCACAAAATAGATGTAGTATTTAACCAGATCACGCGCTATGTGTTTGGGCTAGCAAGATATGAACATATTTCCGCTTGGAGAACGCGCCTACTTGGCTGCGAAATTTCTGAATATCTTAAAGCTAGAAATTGTGTATTCCTTTTTCGTCTCATGACAGATAAGGCACCCAAATATCTATATGAAAAATTAATGTTCCCCAAATCCACTCGAGTAAAGGACTTGACTGTTCCTACCTACAATTATCTCAGCTCTGCACGGCTATTCTTTGTCAATGCTATCCGCATCTGGAACTCTATTCCATCCCATATTCGCAGTAGTTTAAACAAAAGCAACTCTAAAAATGTTCTGTATGCATATTTCCGTTAGCTTCACTTCAGTCCCTGTGATGTGCTCTCTATGTACTTGTTTAATTAAGTCTTATTTTAAGTATATGTCCTGGAATTGTAGAACTCACTTAAAAATACTACTCTGTTAATTATATTATGTTACTTTTATTTAGTCTTAAGTAATTTTTGCTGTTTTAGTTATATGTATGTGCTGTTATGAATTTTTTGTTGCGCTATAAAAGATCATTCTTTTGATCTTATTGTGCTAATGATTTTATTAATAAATGAAATGAAATGAAATGAAATGAAAAACACCGCACTTAGGACAGCGACAGGATGCCTCCTGATGTCGCCCGA